CCAGTCACCGTGCCTTCTCTCCTGCAGTCACTGCTCAGGCAAAAAATCGTTCTTAAGCACCTATCCGGTGCCAGGCGCTGTCCCAGGCATCGGGGATAGAGCAGTGGACGAGACCCAGGGCCTCAGGCTACATTTCTGTGCGGGTTGTGCCCTCCACAGCAGCACTTAGTCAGGGGGCCAGCTGGGCCCAAATCCCGCAGAAACCCATTGGCTGTGTCCATCCAGGCGCCACACGAGTTCCCACAGGGCAGTCCCCGCTCACTTTCCTTTCCCTTTCCCGGGGCAAGGAAGAAGCCCCTGCCCCTGGCTGACCTGCCTGGGCTCGGTGGCCCAAGGCCACATGGTGAAGCTTGCATAAGAGAAGACTGCGGCTTGGAGCAGAGATCCCCCACCCCCACCCCCACCCCGACAGGGAGGACAGACGCTCTGGCTCCGCCCTGGTGGGCTGGAACCTAGGTCTCCTGACTCCCAGCCCAGTGCTCCTCCTTTGTGCCTGCCATTGAACTAGGGTAGGCCCCGATGCCCTGCCACAGCCAGCAGAGAAAGAGGGCCCCCTGGACCTCTCTGTACATGCTTCCCCAAAAAGGCCTCTTCTCCCCTAAATAACCAGAGGAGGCCGTTCTGCTCAGCTGCAGGGCTGGTATAAAATTAGGAGGCCTGGGTTCGTTCTGGCTGGACCACTGCTTGCCTGGTGATCCCTCTGGGCTTCCACCTGTGGTGGGGCTGGGGGGGGCGGGGGGCAGGCAAGATCCTGCCGCCAGCAGCCAGCCTGGGGTTCAGGGCTCACTGTGGGCTCTTTGCGGTCCGCCGGTGCCCAGTGCGTACCTGCCCCCTGGACGAGTTCCAGTGCAACAACACTCTGTGCAAGCCGCTGGCATGGAAGTGCGACGGCGAGGACGACTGCGGGGACAACTCCGACGAAAACCCGGAGGAGTGCGGTGAGGCGGGGGGCGGGGCCCGGGGGCGGGGGCGGGGCTCTCCCACCGCGCGGGGCTCCAGCGCCGCCTCCCAGGCTGATTCTGGCTCCGTGCGCTCCCACCGCTGCAGCCCGGTTCGTGTGCCCTCCTAACCGGCCCTTCCGTTGCAAGAACGACCGCGTCTGCCTGTGGATCGGGCGCCAGTGCGACGGCACCGACAACTGTGGGGATGGGACTGATGAGGAGGACTGTGGTGAGCAGGGAGCCAGTGGAAGGAGCCTGGCGCCGGCGGGCGCGGGCTGCGCCCTAGTTTGGGTGCTGCGCAGGGGCTGAGGGGTGGGCCGAGTGCGAACTGCGCCTGGGGAGGGGGAGGAGCCAAGGCCGGGAGCCCGGGGGCGCTTCCTTGGGAGAGAGAAGCCCCTGGAGAAAGCCCGGGAGGCTTCCTGGCGCCTAGGTCTTGAGGTGGAGCTTGGGACTCTGAATGTTTAGGCAGCAACCCCCGAAGCTTGACACAGCCACAGGGGGTACCTGCGGCTGGAGGCCATGGGGTGGCGAATAGTCAGATCTGAAGCCCCCGCCCTCCGCAGAGCCCCCCACGGCCCAGACCCCCCACTGCAAAGACAAGAAGGAGTTCCTGTGCCGGAACCAGCGCTGCCTGTCCTCCTCGCTGCGCTGCAACATGCTGGACGACTGCGGGGACGGCTCGGACGAGGAGGACTGCAGCATCGGTAAGCCCCGCGCTGGGCTGCTGTGGGGGGGGGGGGGGGGGGGGCGCCGCGGGGCAGAGAACCGAGGCCCCGGCCCAGGGCGGCTCAGGGCAGGGGACCCACTCTGTCCCCCGCAGACCCCAAGCTGACCAGCTGCGCCACCAACGCCAGCATCTGCGGGGATGAGGCCCGCTGCGTGCGCACCGAGAAAGCCGCCTACTGCGCCTGCCGCTCGGGCTTCCACACCGTGCCAGGCCAGCCCGGATGCCAGGGTAGGAAGGCGGGACTCGGAGGGGGCGGGCAGACACCCAGACTCTCCATGACCCTCCCACCGCCGTGTAACCCCCAGACATCAACGAGTGCCTGCGCTTCGGCACCTGCTCGCAGCTCTGCAACAACACCAAGGGTGGCCACCTCTGCAGCTGCGCGCGCAACTTCATGAAGACGCACAACACCTGCAAGGCCGAAGGTACCGCCCCCAGCCCGCAGAGGACAGGAGTGGGTGGGGCTAGCAACACCTGGATGTAAACCAGGGCTGGCATGTGGGAGGGGATGCTTCCCTCCCCGCACTGTGCCAAAGCACAGAACCCCAGACCCACAGGCCCGCTGCCGGGTAGAGGGTGCTGGTTTGGGGGTTGGCTCATCTGAGGAAGTTTGGGGTGGGGGCAGCACACCTATATCCCACATGTGCCTCCTCACCCACCACGCCCCGGAGGAGAGCACACAGGCACGCGTCACCACACAATCACGTGTACCCCATTTGCTTTTTGTTTTCAGCTTTAGCGGAGTGTAATTGACAATATTGTCAGATATTTAATGTGTACAGGTGATGATTGGATACATGTACACCTTGTGAAAAGTTTCCTTTCATTGAATTAACACACCATCATCTCATATTTACTTTCTTGGGGGGCAATGAGAACACATAAGTTCTACTTCTCCATGTCTTTTGGCGCACACCTGCACCTGCCTGAGTACAGAGAGCCCCACCCAGCCGCGCACACACCTGTACCCGTGAAGGCATGTGTATACACACAATCCCACCATGGGCGCCCACAAGCACATATCACACGGCGTGCGGCAGAGTGTGGTGATGCCAGCCGGAGACTGTGGGGAGGCAGAAGTCCCTGGGGCTGGAGAGGCCCAGAAGGTTTTCTAGAGTGGCAGGTCATACCAGATTAGCTTAGGGAAGAAGAGGAGGAAGCCCATCCCAGCAGCAGGCCCCAGCATCCCCCAGCCTGGCCTCCTGCCTCTGCCTTTTCCCTCACCCAACACCTGGCCTCTTGCCCGTCCAGGCTCTGAGTATCAGGTCCTCTACATCGCCGACGACAATGAGATCCGCAGCCTGTTCCCCAGTCACCCCCATTCGGCTTACGAGCAGGCCTTCCAGGGTGACGAGAGTGTCCGTATCGATGCCATGGATGTCCATGTCAAGGCCGGCCGTGTCTATTGGACCAACTGGCACACGGGCACTATCTCCTACCGCAGCCTGCCACCTGCCGCGCCTCCCACCACTTCCAACCGCCACCGGCGACAGATTGACCGGGGTGTCACCCACCTCAATGTGAGCACCCCACCTGGGATGGGATCCACACAGATTAGATGGGAAGACTGCAAAGAGCAGATGGTTCAGAGCAGAGTTTGACAGGGCCAGTGGAAGGGGGCAAAGGGTGAGACTGGTGGGCAGGGCAGGCAGGATCGTGTTGTGGGCACGATGACAGGTGGGCAGAGCCATGCCAGTTGTTGGTAGTTGGCTCTACCACCTCGCAGCCCAAGGTGGCAGGGCACAGGGGGCACACTGGCCTTGAGCCTCAGAGCCACATTCAGCTCCTGATGGTCGATGCCACCCTCTGTGTCGGTCTTGGCCGCCCATTTGACCTCTTTGGGCCTCACTTTGTTCCTCAGTAGAGCAAGGTAATATCTAATCTAGCAAAACATGAGAAAGCTCTAAGTCAGGCTCATAAGGTAAGTGTCAGTGAATCTCTTCAAAATCAGAGAACTGGCTCTCCGCCTGGGATGACTTGGTAGCAGGGACAAGCCGGCAGGTGGTGGTGGGGATAATGGGCAAGAAGACAAAAGGTAGTAGCCTCTGAAATTGTCATCCGCCCCGTGCAGATTTCAGGGCTCAAGATGCCAAGGGGCATCGCCATCGACTGGGTGGCTGGGAACGTGTACTGGACGGACTCGGGCCGAGATGTGATTGAGGTTGCACAAATGAAGGGCGAGAACCGCAAGACACTCATCTCGGGCATGATCGACGAGCCGCACGCCATTGTGGTGGACCCTCTGAGGGGGTGTGCAGGGTTCCTGCTGGGGGGAGGCATCCGGGCGGTGCTAGGAAGCCCCTGGGAGGGGAGTTGGTACCCAGCATCCCCAAGCATGTGCTTCCCCTTCCAGACCACCCTGAGATCAGAGTCCTCCTCTGGCCCTTGTGACTTCAGGCCACCCCCAGCTCTGGCCCTCCCCAGTGCTGCCTTTGCCAGAACTCCCAGCCGGCCTGCTGGGTAGGGGCCTGACCTCCACTTGGCTGGCTGTCATGTGCCGCCAAGTTCCGGCTCCTCCTTTGCTCCACGGGGCAGTTCTGCCCACTTTGTTGACTCTGGGTCAGCACAGTGTGGTTTTAGAGTAAAAGATCCTTAACCTGGGCAGAAAGCTGACTCCCCTGGTTTTCTCTGGAGGAGGTAGACAGGACACCCTCCTCCCAATACCCAGCAGTCCCTGTGCCCAGGCCATAACCTGGTGGCCCACCTTGCTCAGCCTCCTCTGGCAGTCCCAAGGCCTACCCACACTTCTTCTCCTTCCCTAGCACCATGTACTGGTCAGACTGGGGGAATCACCCCAAAATTGAAACAGCAGCAATGGATGGGACCCTTCGGGAGACACTGGTACAGGACAACATCCAATGGCCCACAGGTCTGTGGCAGCAGGGGGCAGGGGATATGGGAGGGGTGGGCTTGCTGAGCCTGAGGTCACATAAAAGCTAGGAGGGGAAGGGGCTTGGACTGGGATAGACAATGAGTCGTGGAGGCTTTTCCTCGACATGACTAGGAGGGGTCGTGGAAACAGAACGGAGCTGTCCCAAACATGGAGACAGTTCTGCTTTTCCTCGAGCCTAGGGTGGGAGAGGCTGGGCCTTCACAGTGCTCTCTGCCTCCCGCCCCCGCCCAGGCCTGGCTGTGGATTATCACAATGAACGGCTGTACTGGGCAGATGCCAAGCTCTCAGTCATCGGCAGCATCCGGCTCAATGGCACAGACCCCATCGTGGCTGCTGATAGCAAACGAGGTCAGCATCTGAGGGCAGCCTCAGCTGGCCCTGCCCTTGGGCCTCTTGTCCTCCCCACTGAGTCCAAGGCCTCATCCAGCACCTGCTATCCTCCTCATCCTGGCGCCCAGCAGTCCTGCAGTGCCTTCCAGGCCTCGACCCCTCCTCCCCCACACTGGCCTCCCTCTGTACCAGCCCTGCACTGTCTGGCCCACTTGCCCGTTCATTCATTCCACCAATGAGTATTGAGCTGCATGGAGGCAACAGAGGTGGCAGGAGGAGCTTATTGAATGTAGGGAGAGGGAGCAGAAGTCCATCCTGATCCCAGAAGTCTAGGGCTGATGGGACCTTTTGCCAGTAGGGGCCGCAGGAGGAGGAACAGGTTGGGGGGAGTTCTGTTTGGGACGTGTTGAGTTTGGGGTGCCTGGGAGCCATGGGAGCCAGTGTCCTGGAGAGTGACCAGGGCCTGAGTCCCCTCTGAGTCTACCTCCTCCCCCAGGCCTAAGTCACCCCTTCAGCATCGATGTCTTTGAGGATTACATCTATGGCGTCACCTACATCAACAATCGTGTCTTCAAGATCCATAAGTTCGGACACAGCCCCTTGATCAACCTGACGGGGGGCCTGAGCCACGCGTCTGATGTGGTTCTGTACCACCAACACAAGCAGCCTGAAGGTAGGCAGAGAGGGCAGGCCTGGGGGCAGAGTCTCCAGGCTGTCGCCTCAAGTCTCGGTGGGCGGGGCGGGGGGAGGTCCTGGGTCCCCAAGGCTCAGCATCCTCCCGCCCCTGCCCGCACCTGCAGTGACCAACCCCTGTGACCGCAAGAAGTGTGAGTGGCTCTGCCTGCTGAGCCCCAGTGGGCCTGTCTGCACCTGTCCCAACGGGAAGCGGCTGGACAACGGCACCTGTGTGGCCGTTCCCTCGCCAACGCCCCCACCGGATGGTATGCTCGGCCCCTCCCGCGGCCCCACCTCCGGCCCCGGGACCCTCTGCCCCGCGACCCCTGAGTTCCCCTCTTTCCCTGGCTCTGTGCCTGACGGTCCTTCCTGCAGCTCCTCGACCCGGAACCTGTAACCTGCAGTGCTTCAACGGCGGCAGCTGCTTCCTCAACGCGCGGAGGCAGCCCAAGTGCCGCTGCCAGCCCCGCTACACGGGCGACAAGTGTGAGCTGGACCAGTGCTGGGAGTACTGCCGCAACGGAGGCACGTGCGCCGCCTCGCCCTCCGGTACGGCCTTCCCTTCTGCTGCCAGGCCTGCTCCGGGCTCCCGGCGTGCCCCGCCCCAGCCTCTCGGCCGCCGGCTCCACCCCGGGCGGGTCCCCGGCGGCC